GGTAGAGAGAATAGTGCAACAAGGAATGAATGGAAACCCAAAATCTCTGTAAATGTTTATGAAAATTAATAAAATATAATTATAGAAAAAAAAAGGCTGTACGTCTACAGAAGCAGAACCAGCCGGTCACATCTTTCACTTGAAAAGTCACTGGCGAGTTCAAGGGTTATGCCTTTAGTTAGCTGCCAAAGAGTACAATCATCACACCTCCAGAGTTTCTCGTTCACTGTCACTGAGTCCATTCTGACTCATAGAATCAGCAGGTTCTGAGACCGCAAATCTAAACAGGAGGAGAGGGTGCATCTGTGGCCCACAGAGCTGCTGGTGGATCCAAACCACTAGAGGTGTACAGCATTTCGGTTACAAGCATAACTCGCCTGCAGAGAATGCCACCAAAGCTGAGTAGTGGTGGTGTGTACTGTCAAGTCAGAACCAACCCATAGCTTATAACCCATTTCCTTATAACTGTGATCAAGTTAAAAAAGGATATGCCATGAGAAAGGTGGTAAGGAATACTTGGGATTCTAGAGGTGGAAGAGGAAAAGTTTGCAAGGAAAATCCTACCAATATTGATCTGAGATCATTGTGTTTTGCTAAACCTCTAAAAAGTATCTCTGACATGTATGTGAATTTTTTCCCACAAAAGATTGATTCTAGATGGGAAAGCTTCACAGTTCTAGAGCTCTGGCCTAATGGTTAAGGAGTTTTACTACTAGCCGAAAGGGAGGAAGTTCAAATCCACAAGCTGCTCCTGTATGATTTACAGCTTCTGAAAGACTGCTGGAGAGTCAGCAATGAGCAGGTTCAGATTTGATGGCAAATAACAATAGGAAACCACGTTACAAACTGTTCTCCTTATACTGTGGTGTTTTCATCTATATTTTCATGTGGGGAAGAGTCCCTGGATTGGGCAAAGGAATTTTGAACTCTTATCATTCATAGCAACTGTATGGCATGGAGTGGGCATTTCAAGGCTCTAAATCTTTGCCTCAAGAATTTGGCTCTTTAAGGCTCTAAGAATTTGAATAATTCTTGTCTCAGTTTTGTACATCTGTCTGTTATTATCTTTGGTTATTTTAGACCATAAAACTTCTAAAGTGCATGTATTAAGTGGAGTCTCTAAATGATTATATCCTAAACATTTCTAAATTAAGCAACTATTGGAAGGTAAATTCATAGGTCTTTCAACCTCATGAAACATTGAGGTTGTTCAATTTTATGACCTAGCTCTAAATTTCAATGCATCACTCACTGGAATTGAGATCCTCAAATTCTAGGTTTAATCTAATGGACATCACATACTTTGAAACTCTTTTTTTTATTTTATTATTTTTTTGTGTGTGTACCGTCAAATCAGATCTGACTGGTACAGGAGGTGATTGTCCCTCCTTCCCCGGCAGAGCATCTTGTGGATTCGAACCGTGTGCTTCTGGGATTGTAGTTGCAGCTCCTTGCCACTAGGCCACCAGAGCTCCCCTTTTGAAACTCTTAGTAGGCAAACATGCACCTTTGGAGGTCTAAGGTGTTTTAAAAACTCTCCTAAGAATTTTGATATGGAGGAATCTCCTATCAGAATTCACTTAATGTGAGTATAGTGTTTGCACACACACACCCCCACAACCCAGGCCAATTCTGATTGGATCAAGTCCAAATCCTACAAGATATAATTTTCCTGAGTTTAGGCAATTTCCTTCAACTCTGTCACTGAACAAAATTAATAATAAAGCCTTTTGTCTCTTTTGTCCCAAAGTGCTGTGATTGTCAAAGCAATAATTAGAGAACTCACAGAATACCAGCCACCTCATGTCTCAGTTGGGATGATATCACCAGTAAACTTTATATTAAGCAATCAGGAAACCTCTCCTGTTTCCCCACATCGGAAGTGTGGGACTCTGGATAATGTTTCAGCTGCTGTGTGTGATACATTCCAGAGCTGATGCAGGTCAAGGGCGGCTAAAGCTTTAGAGTTTCATTTCTAACTCAAATGTACAAGTAGTATTGTCCTTTAACAAAAAAGACACGAAGGACTACATTTCTATGGACTTTTCTCCCATTCTTATGCCAGAAGAATGGGCCTTTTTAATTTATTATTTTAAAAAATTACCAAATATTTCATCTCTACCGAAGGGCTTTGTAACAGATATTAGTAAGTCTCGCTCTCCAGCATATGTAGCTGTCAATCAACCCACTTCATTATCAGAATTCTCCTAGAGCAATAAAAGGCCCTATTAAGTATTTTGTTTGAAACTTGAAGTTGCCACTCTACATCCCTATCGTTCAAATATGAAGGCAGCTCCTGGATGGCAAAGTGTGCCAAGTCTTCATGTGCCTGGGTGAGCCAGTTACCAGCACGCAGAGAGGGAGAGAGAGAGACCCGAACAGCTACTATTTAGCCTACAACCAGGCAGTTTCTCTTTTAATTGGGTAGCATGAACTAAAAGTCTATATCCTCAAACCAAATCGTATAAATATTGGTGAGAAACTGACAGAGCAGCCTGGGGCAGGTGAAGCCTTCTCACTCAGTGTCCCTATCAGAGGGGCAAGACTTGGATTCAAGGGCTTCTAGTGCTTCAGCATCAAAGGAAAGGACCTCCACCCCCACCTCCTACACCAGCACTTACCTGAGCAGAGACCAAGGAGCAGGAGAAGTGGCCAGGACTCCATGGGGCTCAGGCTCCAGTGTGGACTGCTGGCAGAGTGGTGGCCTGTGGGGCTCGCTGGCACTCTCTGTGGCCTCTCTGGCTGGACACTGGCTGCCAGAGGGCTTGCAAAGTGAGCCTGCTCAGTGGAGCTATTGTTTTACATCACCTGTTTGCAGCAGTGACAGCTGGGCTGCCCTCAGCTCTGGAGCCCAAGGAATAGCTAAAGTCTCACACTATCTAGAAGTGTACCTCATTTTACACAATTGCTCCACCCTTGAAAAGTTGAGTATGAATGGCATAATACTTCAGGTGCATGAAATATAGTCAGGTTAGTCAGGTATTGATAAAGAATTTACTTTCTGTTGTTGTTTTTGAGTATCATCAAGTCGGAACCAACTCATAGCTGACCCTGAATTGGGTTTTGAGAGGCTGTTAATGGCACAGGAGATTGTCTATCCTTCTCCCTCAGAGCAACGGACGAATTAGAACCAAATGCCTTTGAGATTGCAGTGTGGCTTCTTGCCACTAGGCCACCAGAGCCCCCTAAAGAACTTTCTAAACAAAGAATTCTTTTGCAGTCCTTTCTTTTTAACATCATTCACAACCTCATCTATTCGAGTTGATTAGGGCCATTTGGACTGATCAGGCAGTCAGCTACTCATGTCCGATACCTTCAAAACTCATTGCCCTTGAGTTGAAACCAACTCGTAGCTGACCTTCTAGGGTTTTCAGAGGATGTAAATTGCATGGCAGGAGTTTGCCCGTCCTTATCCCACAGAGAATTCAAATTTCCAGACAAGAGTCACTTTGGGGTTAGCAGTGCAATCCATAATGGACTGCATCTCCAGAGCTCCTGGGTATAAGATACAGGTCCTCCTAAAAGGAAAAGTCCATAGTTTACAACGATGAAAACTCATTTCCTCTAGTTCAGAGTTAACCGAAAATGGCTGGAGCTTTTGTGACCCACTTTGAAGGCATTTGATAACTTTGTGTTGTTCTGTGAGGATTCTGTGTTTGATAAGATCTGGCTTTCAATTCAGACAACTTCTTCCATGAGCTAGTTTTACTGGTCCCTGGAGTGGCATTCTAACTCCTGTGCCTGTATCGGGCTGTAGCTGTCCCAAGATGGGCCATTAGCTGCAGCAAATAGTCCCACCTCCCATGTACTGCTATTCAAGTGAAACTTGGAGAGCAAGAAGTGTTCCACAGGGAGAAGTGCTCCCCCCTTCTCCCCAGGGCTTCAAACTGGCTTGAACCGTCAGTCATGGCCAACAGAGTGAAGATCTGTAAAATATTAATGTACCAAGACAATAAATGCAAAAGAGAAAAATTACAGGTCAAAAGCCTGAAATAGGAGATTAAGAAGAGGCATGGTGAGCCTTTCAGGAGGCTGGTGTCTGAGACTAGATTGTTGCCAGGAGTGTGGAAATAGACACACCTTCAAAGTGGCACAGATAGTCACCATCTTTGAGCTGTGCACCAATGTTTTTTTGCACTGCAAATCAAAAGAGCTGGTCTGGTTGGTATGCAACAAGCATTCAGCCTTCCCCCACACCCCCAAGGAGTTTCTCACCACTGGGCCAATTGGCAGCACCATGATGGATGGAGAAGAGATTGAGGTGTTAACATTTACAGCTTGCTCGGCTCCATAATGAACACTCTTGGCACTACCAATCAAGAACTCAAAAGATTAATTGTTGTTGTTGTTGTTGTTATGTGCCGTCGAGTCGCCTGCGACTCATAGCGACCCTATGTACAACAGCCCTAAACTCC